CTTTGGCATAGAACACAGTGCTTCTGCTAGGTGATGTGACGAGGCTGGTGTGGGACACTTGACGTCATCAAGCTCGAGAGTCTTGACCTGCATTGTTTGTCAATATAGTTAAGCAGCTCATCTATAAACACATAAGATTTTAGTTTCTAGTTCTGATGTCTCATTGCATTCTTATATTTATCACCAAACTGCATGCATGACAAAGCTGTGTTGATATTCACATTCTTAATAAAAATACCCAGAAATTTGCTATTAACCCTTTAAGAGCAAGCCCGCGCACGGCGATTGTTTCCCCTGTGACGGAGCGATTTCGGTTACATCGCCAGTAATGGAAAATTTGGCGGTGCTTTCTACTTTCATTGCCCATTGCTCCTCATTCAGTCATTTTCGTGATTATTAGTTAATGTAAAAATGAAACATCAGACTTTTTTGTTCATCAATAAGAAAAACTAGGTCTGTTTTTTTTGAGGGAAATTGCCGTCTTATTTTGCTGAAGCTTCACGTTTTTCCTTTTCAATACACTCACAATACAAATTGCGCAAGCACCTCCGCACGCGCAGATTGGTCGATACCTCCATTCATTTCCCCATTGTCAATGATTGTCGTCCGCTAAAGCTCGGCCGATTATCCTACATCCTCTTCTTTCAAAACAGTAATCTTCCAGAGTAGTTACTTAGAGTAGTTTAGGCCTACATCATCTTCTTTCAAAACGGTAATCTTCCAGAGTAGTTACTTCTTTACATTCATTTGTTCCTCTTAGCGTTTCATAAAAGAGGAGGTCCATACATGAAAGATTCGCTAAATTGATGAAGTTGATAAAATGAAAAGGCACTGGTATTATAGGAGAGAAGAATTACTAAGTCCTTTTATCAATGCATACTTTTATAGTTACACAGTTGAGAATAAGGTTGGTTATTTGTAGCCCGAGTGAAACGCGGCGGATCGCAAATTTCCTTTAAAAGGAATAGTCCTATAGGTCTTTATGAATAGGCTTCTATAGTCCTAATAATATTACTATATGAATAACTACAATACATCTATGGAAATGTGAGGAAAACAACGCCCTCTCATATTGCCCAGCGAAAATAATCCAATTACCGATGGAAAATCGCCATGTAATCATCTTCATCAACAAAACCAATAATCCAAGGCCTTGAATCAAGTCATGAATATAGAACGGACGCGCGTGTACGCGTCCGTCTCCAGCTGCACGGTTATTTCGAGGGCCTTTTTTTTTATCCGAACACTAACTTAGGGTAAAGTTGAAATATCATCTTTTCCTCGATTTTTTTTCCACGTAACTTTAAAAAAATAAATATATGAGATTAATGAATATATATAAATAATTCTTCAAAGAACTTTAGCACATAATAGCTAATAATGAGCTGGAAAACTTTGTCAAAATATTAGGGATACATCTCGGCTTCTGTAGAAGCCCGTCGTCACAGACTTAACAACTTGTGTAAATGGGGTTCATTCCAATTCACAAAAGATGCAATGTGGAATACCGCAGGGGTCAAATATTGGCCCATTGTTATTTATCCTATTTATTAATGATATGCCTTTATGTCTGAAAAAACATGTAAAATATCTTTATATGCTGATGATACGTGTCTATATTACGCTAGTGCAAATCATCAAATTCTTACCGAATCATTAAATGCAGACTTATTACTTATTGATATTTGGTTAAAAAGGAACAGACTTGCTTTAAATGTGCCAAAATGTGAATTACTTTTTATCGGAACGAAGAAACGGCTAAAAAATATTATAGTACCAGATGTTTACATACAAAATGTTCCTCTCAAACGTGTAACCCACTGTAAGTATCTTGGAATAGTTATTGATGAACATTTGGATTGGGGTAAACATTTTAAATTTTTAAGTAAGAAGGTATTAAAATATATATATTTGTTAACCCATTGCTTACTGGAACCTGGTGGTCCCTGTGTTAAGTCTATGAGAATTAGATAATTCAGTATTCAACGGGTTAAAAAGAATTAGACCATATGTTACACAGCAAACTGCACTAATATTTTATAAATCAGTAATAAAATGTAAGTTTGATTACTGTAGTGCAATTTGGGGGAATACCGGAAAAGGACATTTTAAAAAAAGTTTGCAAAGCTACAGAATAGGACACTCCGGGTGGTACTCCAAGTTGAATGGAGGTTCCCAAGCCGAGATTTATTTCTTTGTCTGAAAATAGAAAATCTATCAAAACGGAGAGATGAACGTGTTCTATGTATTTTGTATAAAATAGTGCATGGAATGATATATGGTGGGTTTAGAAAGTACTTTGTTACTAAAGAATATCATTATAGCTTGAAAAATGCTCATAAAACCTTAAAACTACCAAAAAAACATACGAATTTTAAGAAAAGGAACTTGTGTTATAGAGGCATTAAATCTTGGAATCAGCTACCTATGAACGTAAAAAATATGTCTTTCTCTGTATTTAAATCAAGGTAATATAAATATTAATTTTATATTTTGTTCACTTAAATATATTTATTTATATAACTATAAAACCTAAAATAAACGCTGTTTGGAAAGAATAACCTGCGACGGGGGGGGGGGGGGGAGGGGCTGGGTAGTAGTATCTTGGTTTGTAAATTTTTATTTTTATTTGTATACTTATGTTCTTGTTTTTTGTTTTTTTTTTTTTTTTTAATATTTCATATGTTATGATAAAATGTGTTATTTTATAATTGTACATGTAATTTGTATATTGCGCACGGAACAACAGAAGAACAGCCTTTGGCTGAAGTTGGTGCCGTGCAAAAATAAAATAAACTAAACTGAACTGAACTGAACTCACTCCCCGTCGTCTCCGAAGTGTTAACATAGTGAAGGTTTTCATTACTCTGGTTTCATGTGCACAATAACCCTAAGTTAGGAGGATGTGGCTAATGTAAAGGTTTGGTAAATGTAATCCTTGATCAAAATTTGCTGAGTGTTACAAAAGCTACATGAAATATTTTTCCTGTCAATCAGAACTAGACAAGCTTGGATATTGATTATCACTCAAAATGATATTAATGTCATACACACTAGAATTTAAACTGAATCATTATGTGTAGTGTTGTTTTCTCCCATGTTTCATGATTTTTCCAATACACCAAGTGGATGGATTTTTAAAAGGGTGTTTGGATACATGCAGCATGTGCACCATATAACTACTACTGCTGTTTCTTTTTCTAGTAGCCCTTTTCCATGACATTCACATTAGTATAAACATACCGGTATGGATGATCCTGTTGCTTTCAATGTAGAGTAGAACTCCTCAGTGAGATCCCCTCCATAGAGTAGCAGGTCAGTCAGGTTTGGCATAGAACAAAGTGCTTCTGCCAGGTGATGTGATGAGGCTGGTGTGGAACGCTGGAGATATTGAAGCTTGAGTGTCTGGACCTGCATTGTTTGTGAATATAGTTTTAAAACAACACGTCTATATATGCATATGATTCATTTTTAATAAACATACCTATATACTAAACAGATCACCTCTTAATTTCGTCAGAACTTTCTTTCTTTCTGTATTCATTATTTATTTTTATTCCTTCCGTACACTTTTTTGTGTACACGTTTACTCGAAATCGACATGGTCAATCAGTCATCAGGCCCTATAATATCAAGTTCCTGTGACCTTTTTAAGGTCATGGGGTCATCGTGACGTCATCTACGTGCCAGCCATTTTGTAAAAATCAGGTCATTATCATATCTCGATAACGAGTCATCAAAAATCAACCATATTTAGTATACATCAATTTTAGGTAAAAGGTCAACAAAAAATGTCGAAAAAAGTTACGCGCGCACCTTGACGCGCGCGTAAGCGTACATCAACATTTTTAAATGCTCCAATTCGTCCCAAATTTTTGTTTGCACACGTTTCAGGCCATTTTAAGCATTTTCAAAATTTCTGGGCGCAACTTATGTGCGGGCGTTTCCGCGCGTACTGGCATTTGCAACATAGAATCGCAACATTTTCTCTGTCATCATATATGGCACATTTTCCCAAGCATTTTGATACCTTGTTCACCTTTTTCTGACCAGTAATAACGCAATGAGCGAACGTCAAAGTTGACAGCACGCGCGGACGTGCGCTTTGGGATGCACAGGGACCCCCAAATTTTTTCTTCATATTTGGATAGATTATGAGTTGGAGATATGATTTCATGTCTCATTTGACCTTCAATTAACTCATGACGTCATCATAATGGCCTCCGAACTCAAAATTTCAATTTGCATATTATGACGTCAGCAGACTTTTGGAAAATTGATTGTATCTCTGTAAATATTGATCAATTTTCTTCCAAATTTTAAAATGTTCTAGCTGAGACAATTTTCTACAAATGCAGTTACACGATTTTTCATTTTGACAAAAGCATCATGGCGTATTTTTGCGATTAAAGGAGGCATGTCAATTTTTCACATTTTGCGTGTATTCTCTATGGGACATGACTTTTTCTAAAACCTAGATTCTACATTCCCGTCATTCGCGAGCAATAACTCCGTCGTTTTAGCTTTGTTTTCGCTGAGCTTTGAGTATGTTGTAGCTCAGACAATGAGCTATTACCAATGTTCCGATGCCGGGATCATGCTCATATTTCACTTGCAAAGTGGGATTTGAGAATTCCATTTTCCGTTCACGTGTAATCGCTATGGGAAATGTTTTGGTATATCGGTAACGCACTTGAGTTCCATTCCGGTGACCCAGGTTCGAGTACGGGCGTCTCAAACAATTTTCTTCTTCACTTTTTTTTTCTTTTTGACCTTTCTCCTTTGAATATTAAAACACGTAGAATGCAATTAATGTAATAAACAACCATATTTACTTTATTATTACCCTATTATCACTTGATCCATTACTTTTTGCGTGTAATCCCTATGGGAGATGACTTTTTCTCGAATCTGGATTCTACATTCCTGTCTTTTTCGAGCAATATCACAGTTATTTCCACTTAGTTTTTTTTTTATTTTTTGCAGTCAGACCGCAGCGTGCACGATAATGAGGCTGTGCGGCAAATTTTACTCAGATTCCCGTTCGGTGAAAAGCTCGCTTACAACGCTCTCGTAAAACACGAGACCAGCCACGGGATTTTGGTAGCATCATTTTGTCGGCCTCGTATGGCTTACAGTGCAATTCATCATGGCGGAATCGTGGGGTAAGTCAATCTCTGAAATTTTCGCTGTTCTTTTTTTTGCTTACTTTTATCGCAAACAAAAAGAGCGTTTTTTTAGTCCTCGGAAATTAACTACTCATTACATAGTGCCGTATTTTGCTAGTTCCTGACTGGTATTGATAATATTTTTTCGAATTTTTGCGTCCTACGTCGACTTTGATAACCAGTCCATCGTTTGATGTTGAAAACACGTAGACGCAAGTAATGTTTGAATAAGAAATATGCCCAAATTATTGGACTATATTTTGGAAATCTACCGGAAGTAGACGGACAATTATTCGAAACCGCGGGAAATTGCTATGGTTACGGCCTTTTAGTCGGGTATGGCGGGGTTTCTTGTGGATCGCTGTGCTATTGTGTGGCGCACAGAGTAGTCCCATGTGTATATATTTTTGTCAGCTTTTTAGTTTTTGTTGTCGCAAATCGACAGCAATGTAAATAAATCGACTGCTGACACTGCTCATCAGTCATTGCTATTTGTTATTAATCTAGATCAAATGATATGTTTTAAATGTATATTTACAAGGGTTTAAACATGTTTAGACAAGTAATGAAAGGGGTTTGATAACTGTGATCGAATTGTAAAGAACTGGAATCCTGAGCTGAGCTGAGCTGGATATTGGATTTGGAATGACAAATTACAGGACAATTAATTTTATTAATTTGGGATTCTCAAACTTTGGTTCTGCCTTCTGGTCAACTCAAACCTTACAGCCAATCACAGAAATAAGCAGCTTTTCCTTGTGCGAGTTGTATATAGCCTATTATGATTATGAACAGAGCAGAATTAAAACAAAAAGCCAAAGTAAAAGTTAAACACTTACATTTTAGAACTTGAAAAATGAAGGGAAACTTCATGAATCTGACACCTGTAATTTGTTTTCATTTAAAAATAAATTTGAAAGCAAGCCAGTTTTGTCTACCATAAACGGTTAGCTACTTTGATAAGTTCTTTTCAAATCCCCATACATCGAACTGAGCCATTTTATTCTTCTTATCATTTGTTGTTGTTTTTCTGACAGACGCACTCAACCATCGAAGCTTGCGGGACATTGACAGACATCACACATCAGTCTCCATTGCATTCCTGGATCAACATTTGCTGGACTCCATGCCTTTGTTCGTTTTAATGGTTATTTATTTGAAGACTCATCAGCAGTTTTGCTCCACGTTGGAACAAATAATCTTAAACGGGGAGTTTGGGAGGACGAGACGGATTTTGTTAAGCTTAATCCTTTCAATAAATAAAAATCTCTGATACTTCCAAAGTTCCAAGGTGTGATTCCAGAGCTTCACACGAACAAAGCATTTATTATATTAATAGAAAACTGACTGAACAACAATAATTTGTTGTTGTTTTTCTGACGCACTCAACCATCGAAGCTTGCGGAACATGGACAGACGTCAATCTTCGTTGTGTGAAGTAGCATTTACCGAGGAAGAAGAAAAAAGAACTGTCACCTTTATACAATTTAACAATATTTAACAATAATAATACTTTTATTCTCAGCGACACATTTTATGCGTGTGATGGTCTCAATATAAATGTCAAAGTCAGTTCATAAATAAAATATAAAAATTAGAAAATGCAAATTTTATCGCTAGTCCTATCGCATTTATTATTAGTAGTAGTGTTAAATAATACATTTTTTGTTTAACCGTTGTCCGTTTACTAGGCTATTCAGAAGAAACCAGAGCTGGTCTTCTCCTGGGTTAGTTAGCATGAATTTTGATTAAGAAATGTAAATTACACAGACCTGTTAAATAATAGCCCCCCCCCCCACCCCACAAAAGAAAAAAGAAAAAACAATCTTTTTAAAAGATATTTTTTGCAGATTTGTATTTCATCCAGAAATAGTACCTACACAGGTAAACATAATATACATAGTCAAGCATTGACATATTTTGATATGTTGGTGACGATGATTGTGATGGTGGTGATGGCGATGGTGGAGATGATGGCGACGGTGGAGATGATGGCAATTGTGATGATGTCAGTGGTAAAGGCGATCATGATGGCTATGGTGATGATGATAATGATGACGGTGATTATGATGATGGCAATGGTGATGGCGATCATGATGACAGTGATCATGACGATGATTATAGTGATGATGGCGATGATGATCTTGATGGCAATGCTGATGGTGGTGATGATGAGGGTGCTTATGATGGCAATGCTGGTCCTTAACGTGATGGTGATGATGGCAATTAATGGTGATGGTGGTGGTGATGATCGTGATTCGTGATGGCAATGATGACGGTGATTATTATGGCGATGATGATCGTGGTTATGATGATGATCATGATGACGGTGATTATGATGATGACGATGATGATTGTGATGGCAATGCTAATGGTGGTGATGATGATGTAGGTGGTGACGGCGAAGATGGCTATGGTGATGATGATAATGATTGTGATGGCGATGACGATTGTGATAATGATGTTGAAGATGAACATTAGAATTCTACAAGTTTTATTTGAGCCCTTCAGCCCACCACACAATAATATTTCTATCCGAGGTAAAAAAAAACCCGAAAATAAATGTTCATATATATATATATATACCACGGGTCATTTAAAAAAAAAAGAAGTTTTATTTGAGCTCTTCAGCCCACCGCACACTAATATTTCTATCCGAGAGTCTTGCAAACAAACAATGAAAATAAATTTTCAGATATATATATTCCGCGGGTCACTTTAAAACAAAATCAAACAGAAAAGAGAATAAGGGAAAGAATTTTGTAATATTTTATTTCCAGGAATACACATCAACTGGAGTAACACAATTGACAAAAGAACTATGAAATAAAATATTACCATCCTCGAATGTTTGGGAATTACCAAAAGAAATTCCTGTTTAAGGCTCTTCTCATAAGCCCATGGTTTACAAATATAAAAACACATTTCAGAACTTTTACAACCATGATATTATTAGCAGGGATGGGAACAATCATAATTTCAATTTTCAATCACATTGCCCCCCCCCCCCCGAAAGTTTGTATTTACACAAACATACATTTCATAACGAATAATGTGTCTTCTTTGTTAAAATGATATCAAAGCCTGGCCAAAAATAGCCTATATAGACACTTAAATCACCTTTTCTGTCCCTAGAGCTGGTATTCTATATTGTACTCGATTGTACTTGTGTGCGAATCTGTGTCCAACTTTGTACTTTCCGCTCACTTCTAAGTAGGTAGCGCATGAATATCGTACACAATAATAAGTATGTGGGGCAATACAAAACTTCTACGACCGGGGGTTACGCACACGAGAGTAATTCATGAATATCCTTAATCTCCGTCTACCTTCAGTACCCCCGGTCGTGTTCACGTACAGCGCGCAGACTGGTTGGACCGCGAATCGACGCAGAGCTATATATATAACGTGGTATCCCCCGGTTGATCTCGATGCGAAACGCTCGCCGATCGGCCATGTCTTATTTTCCGCCGAAGTCTATTATTCATCAGCTACTACTTTCAGTGGCGGATCCAGGGGGGGGGGCCGGGTGGCCCGGGCCACCCCCCCCCCCCTTGAGAAAAAATTCATGTAAAATCACGTGATTTTTACCCCCCCCCCCCCCCCTGGCGCTCAAGGGGGGGAGGGGTGCAAATTGAATTTTTTTTTGAGCATCAAACAAAAAAAAATGTGCTCACTACCCCCCCCCCCCCCCCCCCCCACTGAGCGAATTTTTGGCCGGCACGTTTTTCAAATTTTCGGGAGAAAAAAAAAATTGTGCTCTGTACCCCCCCCCCCCCCCCCCCCCCCCCCCCCCCCCCCCCCCCCCCCCCCCCCCCCCCCCCCCCCCCCCACTGAGCGACTTTTCGGCCGGCGCGATTTTCAAATTTTCGGGAGCAAAAAAAAAAAAAAAGTTGGGCCCCCTCCCCTAAGAAATCCTGGATCCGCGCCTGACTACTTTGCTAGTTCCTCACTGGTATTAAAACAGACATTGACAGGAAGTATAATATTATGTTAGGAAAATATCTACATTATGTGGTAAGCCAAAATTCAGCGAGACGCACCCCCGATAAAAATGGTTATTTAACATATATATTCGACTCTTCAAATATTTTTTTTTGCAAGTTTTATTTGGTGCTTTTTCATACTTTGAAACTTCACTCACTATTTATTGAATAGTACATTATAATGTTTATAGTTCTGGCTCAATATTCATGACGAATTCAATGTCATTAAATGAATCCTGAGCATAGCAGAAAGATGAGAACTGTGCCGTGTTTTTGCTTATTACGTATTCATGAGGAGAAAAAACGTGCATACGACTTGAGTAAATACGTGCGATTTGGCGAGCGCTGCGGTCTGACTGTTTGAGTATGTTGTAGCTAAGACTATATGCTATCTAAATATTTCCTCATTTTGTCAATCAGATGTCAGGATCATGCTCATGATCATGATCACGATCATCATTATCAATATCATCATGATCATCATTATCATTATGGTCTGATGATCATCATCAACATCATCATGATCATGATCATCAACATCATCATGATCACGATCATCATCATCATCATTATCATCATCATCATTAACATTATCATTATTATCATCATCTAACATTATCATTATCATCATCATCATCACCATTATTATTATGATCATCATGATCATGCCGCCAGCCTCACAACTACAATGCACAGCAGACGACAGCAGACTACAACGCCGCCTACGCCAGGGACACACACAGCGTCTCGCCGACAGCACACCCCACTCATGGATTCGGAACTCTCCTAAGTCCGCAACCCGGAGACTCCAGCCCAGACGGACAGTCAGACGGACCAGCAAACCATCCATGTCCAGAGCTGCCAACCTGTCACTTTCAAAAAACATATTTTTCTGCTTGAAAAAGCATATTTTTAGGTAAAAAAAAACAGATTTTTGTTTTTTGTTATTTTCCCTATAAAATGCTACTGCAATCATGTTTCTTTGAATAAAAGAGCTTTCAGTCATTGAGAGCTGCCGCCCTGTCACTGTAAAATATATATATATATAAATATATATATATATATTTATTTTTTTTAATTAACAAAAAATGATTTGATTTACCTATTTTATAAAAAAAAATCCATTATTTAAATCTAAAATAATTTTAGTCAACGAATACGAGGGCCGCTGAATTGCGGTGCAGCACACGATGATGTTGTATGCCGAAGTTGCGGGACCCATTGGTGCTTCATTGCGGTCGAATCAAGACAAGTCTAGTACATAAAGTCAATGCATCAGCAGGTCCGTTGTTTGTTTTTAGTTTGGCTTTTTGAAGATACCATCACACTCGAAGGACTTACGATTTACTAGCGACAGACGGACGTCCATTCCTGATATCGTCCTGATTGGTCCGTTAAGGAAGGTCCTTGTACGTGAGATGCGAGTGGAGCCCTATCTCAGATCGCACGGACCGAGGGAATTTAACTAAATAAATTCACTCAAATCAGTGGATATTTAGCAAGAATGAACAGGCTCTTTAAGAATAAGTACACTAGAAAATAAGATTATACGATGTGAATGGTTTAAAGCGAAATTGCAAACCCAAAATCAGAAATAGAGATCGTCAATTTGGTGAGACTGATAAATAGTTCGAATCGAAGTACGGAGGTGTATCTGTATCTATACTGTGTATGTACGTGTATGCAGCTATAGACGCACCAGCCAGTCGTTTTGTGTAAATTAGGATTTAAAAAAGTTTAAAGATACGATATACACAAGATAGCCAACACAGTGGGATATGTGGTGGATATATCCAGCTCAAGCCTTCATCTATCAAGAAACTTTCTACTTCAATGCAACTACTATTGATAATGATAATCATTGGATAAACAGACCAGATATGAAAATCAAAGAGCACATCAAAATCATTCATTCAGCAACCACATATACATATATACATTGAAAAATGGCAACGTGCCGGTTGATATTTCTTTATATATAGTACATTGAAAATGGCAACGTGCCAGTTCATATGTCTTTATACATTGAAATTGGCAACATGTCGGTTGATATACATTGAAAATGGCAATGTGCCGGTTGATATTTCTTTATACCGGTATATATATATATATATATATATATAAAGTACATTAAGAACGTGGCGGTTCATATGTCTTCATACATTGAAAACGGCAACGTGCCGGTTCATATGTCTTCATACATTGAATATAGCAACATGCCGGTTGATATGTCTTCATACATTGAAAATAGCAACATGCCGGTTCATATGTCTTTATACATTAAGAATGACAACGTGGCGGTTCATATGTCTTTATATTAGATAGCTTAGACAGATACCGAGATGTGATTGGTCCAGAGCTCGTCACGTGATATCAATTGTGAGGATCCAAATTGTTATATTTTCCTGGCCGGTCACTTTTCGGTGTTATATTAACCAGCTGGTGAAATGAATATATTTTTAATCAATGTATGTCGCCCTCTTGAGGACTGTATGTCACCAATTACACACATTACACCATTACCGAGGGTCATTTGATTTTTTCAATATTTTTTTTTCATGAATTTTTTTTTCCCTTAAAATTATTTTTTCCACATTTTCTTTTTT